TGTGTGTGTGTGTGTGTGTGTGAGTGTGTGTGTTGAAGTTAGGGGTCCCGCCCTTAAAAATCACCATAAAGGATACGAAAATGGCGATAATCCCATATTATTATACTCTTAAAAAGTGAAAGTATGTGTAGGACACAAGTATTTTTCTCCACGTACTCGTGTGGTGCAGCACCCATGTTAGTATGGCAACAGAAAACCCCTCCTAACTAACAAAACAATTTTTTGCTGATCAGTCAGTCTAGAAACCCGAAAACTAATAGGTGTGACAGAGAAAAAAAAGAAATATCGACAACCTGATACATTTAGGCATTTTAACATTCTTTAGTAATTTGATATTGTTATAACATGTAATAAACAGGGAAGAAGTAGACACGATTCAGTCAATTTAGATGTGAAAATGTTTGGCTCAACTGGCCTGTAATTAAATTCTCTATGTCCTGTGCAACCTGTTGTGCACGCGTCTCGGTATGTACATGTGCATTAATGTTCGTTAAATGTAATAACTTTACGCCCACATAGACACAATCTAGATCATTCAGGAGGTAGGCTTCCGACCCTGCCTGTCAGGACCAGCCCAGGATGAAAGGGATACAACATCCAAACAGAAAGATGGAGATACTCGATGACAATCTCCTACTTGCGATAGCGAAGCCCCTAACTAACTGAACGCTACACCTTATACCCCGGTAGCAAAATGCAACAAAACATACGAGTTCCAAAAATAGGTGGAAAGAATCCAAACTCCGAACCCTTCACTACGTTCAAAGGTGAGCGAAACTGTATACCGAACAGAAAAACTTTACCTAATATTAAACCTCTTTGTGGACGAATTGTCTGCCTTCGCACTGTCTGATCTGTTTCCACTTCTGTCTGTATTTTGATCCAGGCAAGAGCTAGATCACATGAATAGGAGCATAATATAAGACAGGGAATACCGTGGGTCGGGCGTTCCGGGCTGTGGTTAAAGTCTTCTTTTCTTACATTGACCCGTAGAACACTTACGTAAGCAGCCAGTTCGCTTTGAATGGGGCATACGCAATGAGTAAACAGAACGGGTGGTATTGGTCGAACAAAAAGGGGAACAATTGTTACTATTCGAGAGGAAACACGTGTCGCAATAATTGTGAACATGAGTTTGCAGTGTAAGAAGAGAAGAAAAAAGGGAACAAATTAATCATTAACAGGATTTGATAAGACGTATTCGAAGGTGAAGCCTCAGTACGCAACGCACAGAACGAAAAGGTTTCCATATACATGACTTAGAACCCCACCACAGACGTCTACTGTGTGTGTTAAGTATATGGGTTTAGCGCCCCTATCAACTGTATTATGTTATCTAAGAGGCGGGGACCTCCGAAATTAAAGTCCGTCTCTATTTTCCTCTTTTTCTTTCCCTCCATTTCTCTTTCGTTTTTCATTGTCCCTCTGTGTATTCAGTCTGTCTGATTATCTGTCCGTCCCTGTTGTAAACACAAACACAAAGAGACATTAACACACGCTCTTTCTCTCTCTCTCTCTCTCTCTCTCTCTCTCTCTCTCTCTCTCTCTCTCTCTCTCTC